AAAAGCAGTTTTGATCGATTCACCAACAGTCACTTCATTAAATACTCATTTAGCTAACATCACATAGAGTTAGAGTTAAGCATTTAATAAGTTACAGATATATATTTTATTAAATTTTATCTGAAATGCTGTTAGCTTAATAAGCTGTTGACAAAGTAATTGTCGATAAAATAATACGGACCCATAAAAAGAACTTATATTAATCTAATCAAATATAAGTTTAGTATGCAAGATAGAATCAGTAATAAAAAATAAAAATGTTTATTGAGTTTTACACCACATATGTAGACCTTTTAATCTGACTTTTATCTCATTTAGATCTTGGCACAGGTATGAATTACTATAATGTAATTCTTTAAAAAATTTAACAACCTTATTGTATTTATTAATTAATTCTTTAATATTTTTTTCTTTTACTAAATCAGATGCAATTAGATTGATTGCATATACTATAAGTGTATATCCCAAATATGGGAATATATTTCTTAAATTTTTTTCTTGCAGAACAACAGTTAGAACCTGCATTTGTGACAACTGTAGCAAACTTTTCACTTTCTAATTCCTCAATTAAATCTGAGATTTTTGATAATAAAAATTCAACTGTAAGTATTTCAGACAAATAGTTTTGTAGCTTTAGAAGATACTCTTTTCTGTCTGTTGTAGATACAATATAGTTGTATATAAAATTTGCATGTAGTAAAGTCTAACCATCTAATACTAAACAATTAAAATATATTTAATAAAACTTATATATATACATATATATATACACAGATATATAGTTAAATTGATTTAATTCTAATTAATTAATAGTTTAATCTAACCAAAATTAGAACAGGCTTTAATTATATAAGGTTAGATTATTATAATGTTTGAGTTCTTTATTAACCAAATTGGTTACTTAGGCTAATTCGATATCTAGAAGCTGTCCAGAAAAAGTAAATCTTAAGGGTGGATTGTATTTTAACTTTTTGAATAAATTTTGCATAAAAGAGTTCTCAATCATTTTAAATGAAATTCCAGATACAACCTATGCTTTTAATAATGATTGGTCACTTTGATATTGTATTTCTTAAGAAAGAAAATTATCATCTTGCAATTTATTTAAACAACTCTTATTAGAGTTGTTAGAGTTGTTAAATTTTTCAACTAATTTTTGATGCCAATAACTACTAATATCTTCAGAACATTTTGAATAATAATTAGCTAAATAAGCCTTCATAGTTTGCAATTTTTCACACTTCCAAAAAATTGAACAATAAAAACAAGTTGCCTTATAATATCTGTTATCTTTATTAGGTTCTTGTTGGTAAAATGCCCAAATTTCATTGAAATTAGAGTCATCAGTTTTTTGTTTTTTATTTAAATATGCTAAACTAGAGGTAGCAATATCAGTTGAACTAGAAGTTATAGTATCAATTAAATTTTCACTTTTTTGACTCATTTTTGAAAAATATTAAAAAAAATGAAAACTATAAAATCATTATTATAATACTGTATAATAATAATATAATGACAATAACCATAATGAAATATATAATTATATATATACATAGTGCTCAAATATAATTATATTTATATAAAATTTTTGTTGAAAATTCGAATATGCAATTTATGACATAATTGTAATCTTCTCAAACATCATTTTGATATGATTAGTGGGTGATTATACTAGTGCTCATTTATCACAATCAATCAAAACAAACATTGTAGTCAATACTTGAACAGTCTTCTATTGATTCTTTTATTATTTGTCAAATGTCTTCGTCAAAAAATAAATAAAAAAACAAAAACATCCATCCAACAGAAAGTGGAGAAACATTAACCTATAATCTACTAGTTTTAATTCTTTGTTGCTGTTGAGTTA